ATATAAAAAGAAACAAACAACTGTATCTCAGGTGTGACTGCAACTACAAAATGGCTTTGACTGCCTCTTTGCCCTCTGTCCACAATCCATTTCTCCTGAGACCTAGAACACTAGGGGTTCTGAAACATCATCCAATTTATTTCAGCTTGGAAAGCAAAACAAAGTTCCACTTTCCCAGATATGTATCAAGAACTATTTCATTCTCCAAAATAGAGAGTTCCTTTCCAAAATTAACTAGGCCTGAGGCACAGAGATTTAGAGTACAGTCCTAGGGTAATGACCAACTTAAACTGAATTAGACTCATACACTAATTCAAATTTTTGTCTCCCTTTTAGACCTGGACAGATGAAATAATAGTAAGGCAATTGTCTCATATATGACAGAGGTTTTGGGGTTTATTTCAATGAATAAAATACTGTCTGTAAAACAGCAGAGAGAATAAGATACACAGAAGAGATAATAGGTAGAAACTGCTGGAAGTCCTCATGGGTTATAGCTAATAAGGATTCCAGGCTGCTGTGGCTGCTTTACATTAACTCATATCACCCTTGTCATTGATCTAGAATGTGGCCATCTTGGACCCATCCCAGTAAAACCTTTCTATCATATCACACAATTATATTTTGTTTATATGTTACAATAGAGATGTCTTGATATGTAAACAAAAAAATTAATTTGGGCTGGCTGTTCACAGTGTTAAAGTAATATTGGCATTGGTTCTAGCAACAGTCTTGCGGAAGTATTGCAAGATGCTGCTAACTCATTTTTTCAATTGACTTTTATTTTCCAGATTTAATTGTAGTTGTCGCTTCCATGATAGTTCTTTGTGTGGGCTCTAAAGGTCAAGTCTTTGCAACCTCAGCTATCAGGTAATTATATGCAACAGAAGAAAATAGTGCTGAGTAAGGTGTTTTGTTGTTGGGGTTCTTTTTACCTCCTGTTTCAATTCTTGAAGGAGAAAACGAGTCACTGCTCAGAGTCATGTAACAGAGCAGATCACCAATCATGTATGTGAAACAGTGATCCCATTAAGTGTAGGGGAAATAAAATTTTGCGTGTGTTGTCCGGTTGTAATGCATTTATGTCTGGTGGGGATAGAGGTGCACATACCCCCGCCCCCTTTCCCCAACTAGGTGCGTTCTACCCAAATCCTGTTTTAGTTTCTTGGCTCAGTTTTATAGCAACTCTTTCATGTTCCATGTCTCTGATGTCTTCAAGCTGCTTCTTCCTAAAATGCCTGGGGTTAGTGGTTGTGAATTCCTGATGGACTGAATCCACTTTGTGCTCAGGAAGGTCACACCACTTGGTTTTCTTGAATGAGAGGGTGCACGGCAGTGTACTGTGCTCTGCGCACTAGCTGCAGCGATGCTCTAGGATTGCAGTGACTCTCATAAAAAGAATATTTTAAAATATTATCGGACTGTCTAGTTCAGATTGCCTATGAAATTCCTCAAAGGTGAGGAATTCAGATCTTTAGTTAGCTGTTTCTGTATGTTGTTTCCCATCCTGGCGAGCAGGTCAAATATGAGTTGATGAATGATTTCTAGAGCATTCACAGTTTTTGTCCAAAATTCCTGAATCCTTGAGTTATCTTTACTAGCCATGTGTACAAAGGTCTGTCCTCTTGTGCAATCTCCCCATGCTGTCTTCATAACAAACAAGATGAAAGATGGGTGAATGGAGTGAAAAGAGACAGGCTGCTAAGTCTAACATAAAATACTATGTCTCTCTCTTAAAACGGTCCTTTGGAAGAGGCAGACTTCCTCTCTCCACCTCTATTTCTTCTCTTGTATCTTTAAGTCTCTTCATTCATTTAAAAATTGTGTTCCAGGGGCATCCGTTTTCTGCAGATTTTACGAATGCTGCATGTTGACCGTCAGGGTGGTACATGGAGGCTGCTGGGATCAGTAGTGTTCATACACAGACAAGTAAGTTTGAGTACTCTGAGGAATGGCATAATAATTGATGCAAAAGTCCTTATATTCAGAACAGCATGTGTGCTGACATGCTGATGATGTCAAATATATTTAGTGTGGAGGCAGGCAGTCATTTATTTTAACCAAGTATGGTTGTTCTGCCTTGTTCAAGGGACAAAAAGTTCCTAAAAGATTATAAATATTCAGCTCTACTTTGGTAAACTTTTGACTTGTAGTTGGACTTAAGCACAGAAAATGAGACTTCTGAAAAGTAGTCTGAATATTTCTAAATATATGTATCTAAATTCCAAAGTTGTTTTGAATGTGGCGCTGTCTGAAAAAATTACCCAACTACTTTTTGGTGACCAAAAGGTTAATGAGTCACGCTTGCAAGTGAGGAGGTTGTTTTGACTCTGTGTTTGAAATGTGCATGCTGGACAAAGTCATTAGCTATGGTGTAAATTCTTTCACCGTTGAGTTCAGTGGATTTTTGTTAATTTGCACAGCCAGCAGTTGGTGTCAATGTTTATTAATTGCTGAAATTACATTCTTCTGTTCCAATTATCTTTTAAAAAACATAAGTGACAGGTAATTTAAGTGTCTCAATAATATCATAATACAGTTGTTTTGATTCTCTTTGCAGGAACTGATAACTACACTCTACATTGGATTTCTGGGCCTGATTTTTTCCTCTTATTTTGTGTACCTCGCTGAAAAAGATGCAGTAAATGATTCTGGAGAAACAGAGTTTGGCAGCTATGCAGATGCCCTGTGGTGGGGAGTAGTAAGTATAGCCATTTCACATGTACTAAAAGTAGTTAACACCTTCAAATGTGGAGTAAAGTTCAAGCAAGGATGGAGTAAGAACAGCACTTTGAAATGGCCTCTTATTACTTCAATGCACTTTCTGGTTTTGTAATTCTATGAAACTAAGAAAATACTATAGATGATCAGTAGTTTTATTTGGTATTTATAGTCTTATGTGATCTGAAGTGATCAAATTATGTATACAAGATGTAGAAACATCTATTCTTATTTCTTTATCCTGTCTTCCCTTCTGTTATAGTGATTACTTCTTGCTACCTTTCTCATGGTAGGGTTCAACCTTCTAAGGTGGTTAGAGTCTTGCTAAATCAGGGCTAGTGTGTGTGGTTTTTGTTGTTTGGGGTTTTTATCTGCTTTAATTGTATGTAGCTTAATAAAACAAACTGTCATCATTAAGTGCTATAGATCTTTAAAATGCATAGGCATCACTAATGATTCCATGCTTGCGTTTTCAAAATGTGCTATTCTTCTAGAGTCTTCTTTTTGCTGTTTTAAATTAAAAGGCATTGTTTCTTTTTTTGTTAAAAATGAGACTACTAGTAAGTTTTATGTACAAGAACAATAGGACTAGCACCTCCGTTTCACTAATAAAACATATTTTTTAAGAAATATTTTTAATAAACCTCTGCGTGTGTGTGCTTATATAGTCTTCTCTCTACAAACAGTACCACTTGCTGTTTCAGGAAGGAAAGATCTATTGATGAGCAAGTCTACTGCAGGTCTCCTGGTGCTGAAATGCGTATGTAGCCTTTTTTGAATACAACAGGTTTTGTTTAGGTTGCTACTAAGATCTGCTGCAGAATTCTTTCCTCTTGCTGTCTGCCATGGTTAAATACAGCCTCTCTTAGGATCAGAAAACTTGCTGTGTAGCACAAGGAAGTTGCTTTCTGGCAAGTAGCTTTTTCAATGCTTTCATGTCATCACAGCGTTTTTATTTTCCAGTACAGCAGTCAGATGACTGGGTAATTAACAGTGGCAGATGTAGCTGCATTTAAAAACACATGCTGTCATTGGCTTTGGCATTAAAAATTGAGTATATGACAGACCAGATTGGCCTACTGAAAATACAGTAAAACCTTCCATAGAAGCGATATGATCTGTCAGGATATTGAAATATTCTTTCAGGGAATCATTGCTCAGTTAATAGGCATACTGGTTATTTTGTCTTTCTAATTACAATAAAATTCTTTAATCAATAAGTTTAATTATGATAATATTCTTGCTCTGTTATAACTTTTATTATGTCGCAGCATGGCACTCAAAGCGTGAGACTGCATTCAACAAACCCATAATGTAATTTCTTTAATATTAAACTTAGAATTTAGTGTCCTTGTTCTGCTCTAAACGCAGAAGCTATACTTCTGCTAACTGCTAAAAGGATTTAGCAAAACAAAACTGAAATGGATTCAGGTCCGTCCATTTCTGGTGTTTTGATACTGTAATATTCTTCATGCTTTCTGCTAGGAAAAAGCCCTGTAAAGTTAGGACAATAACTGGGAGGTCATTAAGTATCAGAATGCTTCCTAATTAAGGTCTCAAACTCATACAAAAACCTTCTCAAAGTGTTAGGTCTCAAAAGTTTCGGTTATGTTTTCGCCAGAATTTTCAGAATTGCTTAAACACCACAAATTCTGGTCACTGAAAACCTGTCTTGGTCTGCATGGAAGTGGACACACAGAAGAGGATAATTCACAGCTTCTGTCTCAAACACCATCATAGATACATGATCTGCCTGGCAACGTAGCTGATCTCACTTCTCTGAAAGTGCACTTACCTTACGTAGTAGAGAATACTTCTAAAAGAAAAGTACTTGATAACGCTTTCACACCCCCTTTCTCACTCTACAACATTGCACTTTTTTGGTTATCTCAGCGTAAGTCTACATTGCTAAACAAGTTCTTTGGGTAGCAGCAATAGAATATGTAGCATAGCATAAAGTAAACCATATTAAAATGTCTGTGTTACCACAACTAAACTGCATCTGGAATTGGGTACTTTTATACTACTGTGCTTTGCTGACTATAGACATACCCATAGGGTGCATAACTTTTAATTAAATGTTCTTCATTGTCATTGTTGTTATTTATAAACCTATATTGCTTTTCCATTTCCATATGTAAATTGGCCTCCTGGCCTTTATTTGAATTTCCTTGAGAACTCTGGGCTGTAGCTATTCGCCATTCCAGTTTATGGGCTTCTAAGGTTACCTTGTGGCACAGAGTAAAAGCTTGTCTGTATTATTGCTGGTTTTCAATGCAGCACATAAATAATTCTGCCAATGGCTGAATATTTGTATGTCTTTTAAAAGACAAGTTTAATATTTGTAAGTAAAATACAGGTAACATGATGCATCTTTCAGCTCCCCAGTGCAAGTATTCAAAATTAGTCTGCTTTTGTTGTCCTTCATGTCCAGACTAACAGTCTTAAAAACCTAGTATAGATTCTGGACAATAAAAACAAGAATTAAAAAAAAAAAAAGCTAAAGAAATAAAAAATAAGATGATAAATTTCTCACCAAATCTGTCAAAGATGACCACCTTCAGGGAATGTTATTGGCTCACCGTCTCTGGGGTTTTTTGTGTGTTTTTTGTTTGTTTGTTTGTGGTGGGTTTTTTTGGTGTTCCCCCCCCTTAAGCATTAAATTCAATCATGCCTCAGGCAGACTGAGGGGAGCTCTTCTTTTCTTTTGATATCCAATGAATGATACACAATTTCCAACCCTCACATCTGAACAAACATCCTTCAGGAAAACCATTATGTGGATTGTGCTAACAGTCTCTTTGATCGTGAACACTATTTGCCACAAGCGATTATTGAATATAGCCATGCATGGATATTACACTGTGCCCGTTCCTTTGAATTTGTTTGAATTGTATCGAGCAATTGTCTGCAAGTACCAGCTTTAGTTAAGAGTTTCTTGTTCCTTTAATTCATCTATACATGTTTTCTCACCAAGGACCGAATTCAACAAAACATTGTTAAGTTTGCTTACTTCTAAGCATACATAAAAACATGTTCCTACTTAGCAAAGCCTATCAGTATGTGCTTAATGTAAATTGAAAATCAAAATTGTGGGAAAGCTTTGCTGAAACATTGCAGGAAATACCACTTGAAACTACACGTGCATAGAACTTTTGCTAAATTAGAACAGTTCTGATTTAATTTATAAATAGTTGAACATAAATATTGAAAAAATGCTACATAAAAGGGATCTTGTGTTATTCAAAACCCTTTTTTCCCCCCCTTCTAAATTAAAAAAGCTGTTGAGGACTGTACACTGACTTCAATGTTAGACAGAAGGCAACACTTCATTTTTATTCTTTGTGGTTTACAAGTAAAGAATACCAACTATAGGCCTGTTATATCCTTTTTTTCTTTTTTTTTTTTTATTTTTGGGATGAAGTGTTTGGGGTTTTTGGGGGGAGTTGGTTATTTTAAGAATTTTTAGAGCGGGGGTCGGAAGATGTAAGGGTTAGTATTTTTAAATGCTTTTTGCATGCAATCTCTGCATCTTGCAACTGCCTTCTCATCTCGGAGCTTTATCTCCATGAGCATTTCCAACTACATTTTGTTCTCATTTAATGAAGATCTGTGGGGTAGATGTGGAGAAACCTTTTAAAATTCTTACTTACAAAGTACAGAAGTAGATATTCTTACATCTGCAGAACACTCTTCGGACTTATTTTCTTAATTCCCAAATCTTTAAACATCTATCAAAAGATGTCAAGGAGCTAGAAAAAAAATTATATCTAGAAGAATCCAGAAATTTTCAGCAGTTGTTTTCCATTTGATGAAACAAAAGTAAAGTATTTCAAAATATAGATAATTTTCTATGTCAGGATCTAGAAAAAATAATTATAATTAAGGAATTTAGCTTTCATTTAAATTTAAATAATTAGCACAAATTGTGCTCCTGTTGAAATGGGTCTGTAGGAGGCTGAAACTAACTTCACTCTGATTTTTCCCCTGTCATATGGCTAGAATTATCCTCATAGGAAGATGTTTTAAAACTTCCCTCCTAAGATATTTGGCTACCTTGTATATGCTTAAGCAGTCCTTTTTTTCTGTTGTTGTACCTAGATAATGCTGTTTCTTTTCAGTATAATTACTATATTTTGTGAGGTGTAATATAGTACTGAATGGAAAACAAATAGCTGGAGAATTTCCATGAACAGTTCAGAAACTGCAGTCAAACTCTCTGCATATGTTGATAACTTTCCCCAGCACTTCCTTCAATATCACACTGAGATATAGAGGGTACTACTTCAACTGGCTGCTTTTTCTGACATTTTTTGTACAGAAGTGGTTGGTTGAGCAAGGTCTAGATAAAAGAAACTCCTCTGCTATAGATTATACCTATATGTGCTCGAGTTCAACACTGGTGAGATCAAGTCCAATAGGCAGAGCTGGCTGTTGACTTTGCCAGCAGCATGACTGATGGTGGCCAGCAGACCTCCCACCACTTCCCATTCATCTGATCAGTAAGCAGAGAAGGGCTGGCATACTGCAGCCTCCCAAAGAAAGTGGGTATCGCTGTATTGTAAAACCTGAACAACAGATGATGGATTAATTATCAGGCTAGGATACAAAGCTGCTGGATCTCCTATGAGTTTTATTGCTTGTGTCCATGTATACGTTTACTACTGAGTTCAGATCTAAAATTGTCTGTTCACTCCAAGTAAAAATGATCATAATAATGATCAAATGAAAAAAATGATCAAATAACCATCTTCCTGGGAGGTTTTAGGTCTTTTTGCTGGACTATGTTTTCCTAATTTAGTTACCTTTGTGTTTTGGTAGGGGTGCTTGGGGGGCGGGGGGGAAGCTCAGATGAACCCCAACACTTTACCTATACCTTCACTAATAATGAACAGTTCTCCCTGGTTTTATGCAAGTTTATGTCCTGTATCTTGTCATCCTTGAGAACTACTGTCAGGATGATCCAGGGGATGAATAGACTATTTTACAAGAGCAAGTGAAAACAGCTTTTATTTGTAAGGCTAAACACACTGAGAAAGGGATTCAGTGGCCTTTGGAGCGTGCTGTGTTGCAGGTGTGTGTACTGCAGGAGTGAGGGAACAGAAGAGGTTGGTTAAAGCTGCTGTAGTCCCTTTTTTCATTGCACAGAACAGACTTTGCAAATTTAGGTGAGCTCAATGCTCCAACTTAATTTTAATCACTTTTTTTTTTTTTTAAAGACTCTTCTAGTTTTATCTCTGAGATCTCACAAGTGGAGATGTTTAGTTTGGGCCACTATTTGATTAGGAGGTTTAGAGTGGCCAGTAATTTGGTCAGAACTGATTGATGGCTGAAAATGACACCTTGAGGAGGTATTAAATTAAGATCCAAGAGCGATAGCTAGGCAGCACTGAGGACCTATTATTTGAAAGACATGGCACTGAAGTTAATATATTGTTTGTTGTGTTTGCAATTGGATGTGTAGTTCCATTTTATTTCATATTCGAAGTTATTAGAAGTGTTTCAGTGTCCTTCAGATGTGGTTGTGTCTCAGTTATGTACTTCAACTGCATCAGTAATGATGGTGTGAGCCTGCAATGATAACTGTATGAAAACGACTTAGAAATTTTAAGAAGAAAAATAATCTAAATGTCCCATTTAAATGTTTGTAATAATAGTGACCAGGAAGTCCTTTCTTCAGCTTTGGATTACAATTTTAATTCCAATGTATCAAAACATTTGTGTCCCGTAGAACATAGTCTCTTAACTTGTTCATCTGAAAGATGTAACTTGAATCTTCTCAGAGTGCTGCAATGCACATAGAGGTGATTGGGAGCAGATAGTGAAATTTCCGTTGTGTGAATTGGTTCTTATTGCTAACATCCTGTCCTGGTTTTGGCTGGGATAGAGTTAATTTTCTTCCTAGTAGCTGGTACAGTGCTGTGTTTTGGATTTAGCATGAGAATAATGTTGATAACACACCGATGGTTTAGTTGTTGCTAAGTAGTGCTTACACTAGTCAAGGACTTTTCAGCTTCCCATGCTCTACCGACTGAGAAGGCTGGAGGTGCACAAGAAGCTGGGAGGGGGCACAGCCAGGACAGCTGACCCAAACTGGCCAAAGGGATATTCCATACCGTGTGATGTCATGCTCAGTATATGAACTGCGGGGAGTTGGCTGGGGGGCGGTGACCGCTGCTCAGGGACTGGCTGGGCATCGGTTGGTGGGTGGTGAGCAATTTCATTGTGCATCACTTATTTTGTGTATTCTTTTATCATTCTTATTGTTGTTGTTATTATTATTATTTTCTCTTCCTCTTCTGTCCTATTAAACTGTCTTTATCTCAACCCACGAATTTTACTTTTTTTTTTTTCCCCCCGATTCTCTCCCCCATCCCACTGTGGGGGCCGGGGGGGGAGCAAAGGACTGTGTGGTGTTTAGCTGCCTGCCAGGTTAAACCACAACACATCCTTATATGCACAAGGAAGAAAAATATTGTCATTTGGAAAAGAATTCAAAATGTCGAAAGATCACTAGGGGTTTTTTTTTTAGCTTTACACAGATTGCCTACTTCACAGTAAAATAAAAGCATGAGTGCCTAATCTGTTTGCACTTGTGCTGCATGGATTTCAGCAACTTGGAAAGATTCTACTATATATTCAACTTGCAGGAATGCAGTTGACTGAATACGATGCCAAGCAGTAGAAAGGCTTCTAATGTGTTCATTATACTTAGGTGTACAGGAAAGCATTCAAACCATTTTGCAATTTACTATACTTCAGTTGCAAAGAAGTAAGGGAGCTGGTCGATGTTTCTGGCATATCGCTGGATGATGTTCTTGTATTACTTGATTTAATCAAGATGGATATTGCGAGTGAGTCAGAAAATTCTGAGGGGTATTTGGTATGCAAAACAATACCTAGTGCAGTTGATTTTGAAGTTGCAGTGCTGCAAATGTAGAAACAAAGTAGTTAAGGTGTTTTCTATAAGGTGACTCTCCCTTATTTGCTTTTTTAATATTTTAGCTTGTTTGCTCCCTCAGTCCTGTGATGTCTGCCTTTTTAATACCTCTGAATCATGCGTTCTTGTATTTTGTAGCTGTTATCCAAACTATCCAAATTTTTGCAAGGCACACAGCAAGGATTTCATCAACAGAGCATTGTTACTCACCTGATTAGTTTGCTGTGCTCACTTTAGCCTGATAGCCTTGAATAAAATCCCTTGCCTATTCAGTGCTGACCAACATTACTATTTCTTCTTGCTGTGTGGATTTTTGCTTCATGTTTCCTCCTTCAGACTATTGATGCATATTTAATAGGAACAAGAATAGTCTTAATACCAAAGCCTGTGGTGATGTACATCAGATCAAAGTTCTGAAATAGTCAATGGATGAATATGATTTTGTTCCTAATTAAAACAGTTAGTTTTACATGCTGCTTTTCAATGAAAATTTAATGTGTGAGCTCTTGTATCAATTTAATTTCATTATGCCAACATATTTACTATGCTAGAGTAGAAGCTGAGTCAGTATTTCCATTATAAGATCCTATTTTACAACTGTAAAATTAGTATTGTACTCTTTAGGGGGTTATAATCTGGCTGTAAAAATTCATTTAGGGCAGAAACTTGGCATGTAAGGTTTCAACAACATATATCTTGGGGGGGAAAAAAGAAAATGTAATTTTGGAATACAGTGCATTTGTAGATAGATTAGAGTTATGAGGGAAGAGAAAAAATGTTAACTTAAACACACACTTTGATTTGCAACCGAATTTCAAAAATGTTTTTTAAAAAAATTCCTAAACAAACAGCACAGAAAATACTTTTCTTGTGTCACTGGTGCTTCATATAGACCAATTCAGAAGGGATGGGTGGGGTGATGGTGGGAAAGGGGAGACAAATACTTCTTAGTTGTATATGAATTTTCTTCAGTTGTTCTTCATCAGCTCAAAAGCACCTGTTTCTTTTCATATTTCTAGTTAATGTATATATTTCAACATGATGTTAAGATTGTAACACAGAATAGTTAATAGAACTTTTCAGTGACAATGATTTGTAAATCTTTTTAAAAACTGAGGCATAAACCACTACCTTATCTCATAATCTTTTATGTAAGAAGGTATTGGAGGCCATCACTTTTCCTGTAATTATATTTCCTTTTTTATACCATATTTTTGAACAGGAGCTTGTAGTTAGAATTTAGGATTTTTTTTTTTTAAACTGACCCTCTTATGTAGATAAGGAGATAATGTCATCCTTTCAGTTCCTCATCAGGTCCTGAATTAAGGTGGTGTTTCAACAACAGTTTCAGGAATACAGGCAAAGGTACTTGGGTACTTAACTCACCTTACTAATTCTTAAAATACTTTTGTAGGATATGAAACAGTTTTGGAAATAAGCCATATTTTTAAAACTTGTATTAAAAATTAAATGCTAATACTTGAATGTTTTGAGTATCAGGAACTTGCAATAAACTTTTAACATCACCACCTCAAGCAGCTAGAGCTGTCCCTTTGTTGTGTGTTTGACAGACATGTAATGATGTTGCTTGTAAGGTGGACAGTTTGAGTATGGATGGCTTGCTTCATGTATTTCTGAGGTACAGCTCAGGTTGGGACTTACATCCACAGGATTCCCCTCTGGTGTCTCATCTTTTAGTAGGAATGGACAATTATTAAAGTAGCTGACAGCCACACTTTTCCTGAAGCACTTGTCATGACCTTTTATTTCCCCAAACCCAGGTTCTCCACCCCTTCACCCCCTTAACATCTTGCCTCTATAAATCTGCCCTTCCCTTCTCTCCTCCCCTAGAGCTGCTGCCCTGGGCATTGCCTGCATTTCTGCAGTTGCTGGGTGGTATGCATTACAGCAGACAGGTGAACTAGGAGCAACTGCAGGACAAGGTGGGGATGGCCTGTGTATATTATTGTCTGGGACTAACATCCTCTGTGTCCTGGGCAGCTGAAGCCCATACTGTCAGAAGAAAACCTGAACAGCCAGCGATTGAGGTGTGCTTCAACTGCTCGAGAGCTTCATGTGGTTTCACATGCTCTGATTTGGCTAGCCTTCTTCAAAGTCACAGATAAAAAATCTCTCTAATTTCCAGATTCGGAAATAGCTTGTGACATAGGTGAATTGAAATTGCTCTCAGATGCCAAATGTATCCTTCTGCTTCAAATAAATCCATTCTTTCCTTGAGCTCATGCAAGTAATGACTTATTGAGCCTTGTTACGCTACATCACTGCAGTGGTAATCTTTACTTCAGTGTTTTGAAACTTAAACTCAACAGATGTTTCCTGCATGTGTGTATTAAGTTATCTGTTCTTGTTCTCGATGTATTATATGAATTAGTGATTTGGTTAGACTGTTTTCAGGATCTTTACTGCATGGAAATTTTTCAGCTTCTCTTGCTATTTATACCAATATTATTCTCTAGAATACTTCATGTCTGACCCCAGTCATAGTCCATGGTTACAGTATATCCATGCTCTTTCTATGCAACAGCCCTGTAATACTCTCAGCAAACATCTCCTGCCCATAAAGAAAATCAGCAATTCAGAACTGTTGGCAGCCTCCCCCTAAGGAAAGTGTATGACGTGGGCAGCAACCCATATCCCAGTAACTTCGTATGCTGTAAAGTTGCCTCAGTCACGAAGACTTAAATTAATGGTTTTACTTTACAAGATTTTAAACATGTATTTTATTGTAATTCAATTTCCTGTACCTTTTTCCATCTATTATAGACGGGGAAGCAAACCTGGAGGGGAGAATTACCTTCATTAATGTCACACAGACTGTCACTGGGAGAATTAGGAATGCAACTAATGTTTCTTCAAAATAAATAAAAAAGGACAAAGAACAAGAACCCAAAACTGCCACATTAATACTTGCTGTAATGCTCTGTGTATTTCTCTTTACAGGTGACTGTCACAACTATTGGCTATGGGGATAAAGTGCCTCAGACCTGGATAGGAAAGACCATTGCATCTTGTTTTTCAGTATTCGCGATTTCATTTTTTGCACTACCTGCGGTAGGTTATCTTGTGCTTTTGCTGGCAATTTGGTGTTGACTCATTAGTTGATCAGAGGAAACTTTTGTTATTGATTCTTTAACCTTTCATTTAACCTGACGTTATGAAAGCTTTGTATTAAACTTTTATATTGTAGTTAAAATATATGTAGCTTGTAGAAGCAAAAGGGCTTCTATAAGTAGCTAAAAAAAGTAAATATGCAGTGTTTATTGTATGCAACACTAGATTTGGTATGTATTTGAGAAAGAGACGTTTAATTCAAAATACTTTTTCTGCCCATCTCAGAAGGGTAAAAGAAATTATTTCTCATGCTAATTACTTCTGGACTCAGTGACTTAGTGATGTTTTGGCTTTTTAAGGCATTCACTCATAGTTTACTCAACTGATTAGGTCCAGGGTGAACTGTAGAGTTCTCATACACATCTTTCTTCTAGCAAAGCTGCCGAAAAGGTGTCACTGGCAGAGAGACAACAATAAACAGCCAGGGACACTGATGCAGCTCCTTGCCAAATTAGCAGCTGTCCATGGCCAAAGTCCCATTTTCAAAAGTGACCTAGGGCTGAGTTTTTAAAGGTGTTATGGCACTTTGTACTGAAAATGGGTTCCCAAGTACTTTCTAACAAGAAACAAGGCACTTGAGTACCAAGAGTAAATTCAAAATCAGCGAAACCTGGAGTGTGGTTTGAAAACCCAAAATGTTCAGTGCCAAGGGTAATTAAGGGTATTTTTTTCACAAATTTAGCAATACTCCTGAATTGTGCTGTTAAAATGTTTGTGCAACTTGAAATGTGCTGTTAAAATATTTACTTTTTTGGCAAGTTTTTCAGTTCAGTGACACAAACAGTTGTGTTAGCAGATGTTCCAGTAGTTGTGGCAGAGAAGTGGTGGGGAGAAGTACAGGATGGATAAGACGAATACTTTTATGCCAGTACCATCACAAAAATTCTTCACAACATGAAAGAGTAACTATTAAAACTCCAGTGGCTTTTTAAAATTAGTCGCTTACTTTAAAGGTACGCAACTTTTTGCAGAGGAGAGTAATTAAGTGTAGATTTTCAGACTCTCCAGCATCAGTTTGCCTTTAAAGCATATTCCTCCCCCCTCCTCATTCTAATCTCTTTCATATTTATTCCTTGTTTAGAAGGGAGATCTGGTAAATGAAATTATCTGTAAGAAAAATGCCAAAAGCTATTATTTTGGCTAAGAGTTGGTTTTTTTTTTTTTTTTTTTTTAAATTTTAAGCCAGCAGCAGCAGCCACACCTTCACAGCAATGCTTTTATGTTTACCTGTCAGGTTTCCCTAGTCCTTTGTAGAAGTAAAACAACAACAAACACCCCTTTATCTGTGTGATTTTACAACTTAATTCAGTAATTCTTGTGAGTTGGCCCAAGGGGGAAATTTAGGGTTTGAAGCTCCAGCAGTAAATAGTTGATGGGTAGTAACTATTGCACGCTGCCTTGTTGCCATTTTAAATAAGGGGAGCTGGCTGAGATCACAGTCAAAAGTAATTGTTGTGGCTAAACACAACTGGTATGGGTTCTGGATCTAGCAATGATCCTTCATTTCCCAAGTAAGTGATGTTTGAGCACCATTAACTCTTTGATCTTTACTAAGTGAACATAATAGGAAGGGCCTTTCCTGTTCCTTTCAAAACACTTGATGATTAATACAGTTCTTAGAGGTTGAGCCAAGATCACTGGCTGCTCTGACACCTTGACTACCATGTGTAGAAAATGAATTATGCTTTTGTTGAGTAGGTGTAGTCATGTAAGCTGATTTATAGAAGACCTCATTTTTATCTGTTACTAAAACCTCTGTTAAATATGTCTATAGCTATGCAAATGACTACATAAATGACTTGCTCTACACTTAATTTTGGACATAATAGTTATACTATATTCGGAGGTTATTTTGGGTTGTACACCATCCAGTGCCATTAGTCCATGTCCCTTGTCCTGAGAGTGGATTAGATGGCCTTATGTTGAACTCACTGAAGTCCTGACCATTTTGTAATATTCCTATTCCTCTTCTTTGTCCTCCCCTCCCAGCATGGGTTAACATACGGAAATAGAAATTACCGTGCTGAAGTTAAAAGGTCTTTCTTGTGACCTGAATCATGCCATGCCAAAGCTTTATTTCTCATAAAAACGAAGTTAAGTACACCAGGTTAATATTTCTCCCTATTCTGTCATTCCCCTGCACAAGCATTTATGAGGCTTTTAGAGGGTATGAAATATCATTTCTGCTCGCTCTTTAGCATTTGAGTCCAGCTGACTTAAATAGGCTTTGGATTAGGGCATGATAGCATTTATAGTTTGTTTCAACAAGTAATACTGAGTCTAAAAACTTAACAGTATTAAGTCATTTCCTCTAAATAATTAGTTGGTTTTTATGATGCTGAATGGAAGTTTATTAATACAACATAATTTGGCAAGCTTATGTGTGGTTTTTTTCCTCCTTAAAAAAAAAAAAATTAGGACTGTGTTTTCTTTGTTCCCACAGGGAATTCTTGGTTCAGGCTTTGCCCTAAAGGTACAACAGAAACAAAGACAGAAGCATTTCAACCGTCAAATTCCAGCTGCTGCCTCTCTCATACAGGTACTGAGTTCCTGCATTTTGCATACTATCATTTCTTTCCATTTATAGGGTTTTTTTTTTCAAAACTGTTGTCAATATTTCCATGCCTCATTCCCATTAAAAATTGTATAGGGGTTACAGACACAAGTATTTTAAACAGTTTTGGAAATCCCACCTTTAATGTAAACTAATAAGCTGAAAAGTTCACTCCCAAATCAGTGCAAACTGTTTAATTCAGCTGGTTAAAATCAAAAATGAAAGCTAACCTATAGTTATCGAAAAATTTACCTGGGGAAAATGTTATGAAATACCATGCTTGCAGTAGTGAAAAACAGAGAGGAGGCCTCATGTAAAATTGTACTTTAAAAAAAATACATTGTTGCTTATAAAGACAAATGTCACATATGCTTCATTTTCCTTGGGACAAATAAATTCTTAAAAATCTCAAATTTAGGAGAATTAAGTCAGAGTGTTAAATAGGAAAATCTTGTCTGAACTTTTCAGCTCCAGGATAGGTGGCTGGGAACCCCTGGGATTCTGCAAAATCAACCTTTTTGTGTAGGATAACATACAGGCAGAAAAATTTTGATCCCCTCTGTTAAAAATACAGTTGCAGTTCAGTGTCAGTAAGGTCAATGAGATTTTATCCTTTACTTCAGTGGGGCCAGCATTTCACCCTGGAGAAGTATTAATATTGTTTCATTCTAGGTTTTTCCAGCTTTTTCTCCCTCACTCAGTATCTGCATGTAGCTTTAGAAGCACAGGGATCAAATTTAAAAGAAATTTAGGTGTACACCTAAGCCATATCATTTTTGCATTCTTATATGACTGACTTCCACATTCACTCATGAAGCTAGAGATTTCCAGGTCAGGCTCTTTATGGAAACAGTAGCTAACTGTAAAGTTTATGCTTGAAACTAAACAGTCCCAGAGTTAATGTGAAAAAGGTTTAAATTTAGGGCTCTGGTTATAACCAAAGATTAGCCAAAAATCTTCAGACTCAGTGTGTTTCGTTTGGATTGCATGGTCAGAAAAAGGTGTGGTTTTGCAAAGAATGGATTTTTAGTGTTCTCACTGATTCTTTTGGGAAATCAACCCCAAATTATTGGGAAGCCTGAGATTGCATGTCCAGAACGTTGTACTTGGCTCCATCTGAAATGTTAAGGAGGAGTAGAGGATAGACAATGAGTTGCTGACTACCTGTTCTTAATAGTGGTAATTAAGATTTACTAATAATCTCGGACTTCTAAAGGCCCAATTTAATAAGTGCTCTACAAATAACTTACAAAAAGATTATTCTTAAACCAAGAAGTTTATGAAATAAGTACAAGACAAGACAACAGCTGAAATGAGCGGTACTTTTTTCCTGTATTCCTTCTTGTTTTCTTCTAAAGGCCAGTTGTTTCTTCCAGTATCCTATTAACCATGGTGGGAATTATATAGTGATTGATCCTTTACTTTCCAACTGCTGTCTGTTCTCCTTTGTCATTCTGCTTGCTTTGTTTCTTTCATCCAGTATTTTCTGGCCTTTCCCACTTTAGATTTTGTGTATGTATATGTGTGTCCTTTTTCACATAGTGTGTAAGTAAGGATCTGCCTTTTTAATTTGGAGACTAATTATTAATCAATTCTGATGATATATTTACAGATTTAAGAGAGAATGCAGTAGTGTTTTGTCTCTGGTTGGTCTTGTTTCCTAGCCCTGCTTTTCCTTCTTTTTGTTTTAGAACATAGTACTTTAATCATTGGTGGTTGGCAGGAGGGAGAATTGGTTTTGGGTTTTGGCTCCTGGTTAACCATTGGTGCTGTTCCCTCATGCTCTCAGTCTTATTTCTTTGTATGAATATAGCCCTACCGACCACACCACAATTGGGTTTTTTTCTGATAGTACTCTTGTGAGGCAGGGAAGAATGATTTTTTTCTGCATAGGAGCTTGAAACACAGGATGCAATAGGGAAAATGCTCCAAGTCAGAGAGGGAAACTGGGGCAGAGCAAGAAATTCAACCCCAGTCTCTTGAGTCCAGTCTAGAATTCTCTCTTATTATTTGTTTGTCACTAATGCGAACAAAAGTTGCACTTGGAAAGACTGATCTTCCTTTCCGGTTTGCGCAGTTCAAACTATGTGGTTTCTGTTTACTAAATAAGGATTCTAAACCATGCTGAGTTTGTTTCCAGTGGGGAAATTCAAGAATACTATTAAATAAAGAATGACTAACGTGCTACTTGGAAGTTACTTTGTAGTACAGATAGCTACACATCTGATTGCATTAATTGTTCTGTTGCTTAAAACACTTGTTCTAGACTGCATGGAGGTGCTATGCAGCAGAAAACCCAGACTCTTCTACATGGAAAATATACATTCGAAAACCTGCCAGAAATTATCATTTGCTGTCACCCAGTCCAAAACCGAAGAAATCAGTGATGGTACCAGTAACTAACATTTCCTATTATAGTAATTTAAAATTTTTAAATTAGATTGAATTTATTTACTCTCTAGAGGCTTTGTTGTGTTTGTTTTACAGATTATTACTTGGTTTCAAAGTTTTATTTTCATTTCAGTTTTGAGATTTTTAGCATAGAAACATTTTAAACTATAACTTAATTTGCTTCAGTTCCCAAGCTTGACTTTTTTAATGTATCTATGGGTTCAGAAAAGAGCAATAATGACCTAACTCAGGCACATCAATCAGTAACTTACTGTTGTTGTTTGGAAAACTATAAGCAAAGGAAGAAAAGAAAATTACTATTTCCAAAACAGTAACTTTTAATTGTTTGTTTGTTTGTTTGTTTTTTTAAAAAAGCAAACCTGCTGCTTCTCTCAGCTATTGAGTTTTGTGGCTTTCTAAGCTTCTATGGTAAAGACATCTTGTGCCTACATACAGTAGTATTTTCATATCAACTGATTCCATAAGTTAAGAATTCTTTTGTTTACAAAGCAGCAACAGAAAATCTTTGTTAGAATCTTTAGATTAGAGAGGATGAAGTATTACATATTCTAAGAGTATTGCACAGTAGTCTCAAGCTGGAAAGAGAGGATGTTGTGCAAAAATCTTCCCTAGTATCCCAGGTTCATCTGAGTTCAGTAGCAATATATCCATTTGCTTTTTGCTGAAGTTATGATTTATTGCATCCATAAAATGGTAAAGATATTCTAGAATAGTTTGATTTATATAAACTGTCGCAGAGCTAGCAGATTTTTTTACTGCAGGCACTGGATTTGCTAATGACAATGTGCAGGATTTGCTAATGACAATGTGCAGAATTCTAGTGATTAGCCAGTTTTGGCGGGATGGGGGGCAATCTTACTGATAAACACACAGTGTAGCATCATGAAAATGTAATTGATCAGGCACTCTTTTGACTGGTTACAGCTCATTGGGGACTGCATTATTTTTGAAGACATTACTGAAGAGACAACTAAATGTGGCTTGGTTTGAGTAATTTAATGTATGTGTATTTTTAGGTTAAAAAGAAGAAATTTAAGTTAGACAAGGACAATGGGCCTTCTTCTCCAGATAGGATGTTAACTGTTCCACACATCACTTACGACCATGTGACAGAGGACAGGAAACCCGATTTCAGTTTTGAAGCATATGAAAATTCTGGTAAGAGATTCCATTATAAAATGCCAGTAACTGTAATGGCTTCTATTAGTGATTTACACACAGATCCTCTTTAATATCTGTAAGAGAGAGGATGAGGACAGAACAAGCTCTTGCCATTCTAAAGCAAGAATACTTTGCTTTTTGACTTTGGTTGCTGGCTTGTCTGGATGAGATTCAACCATTCCTTTAATGAGCATACTCCACTGCAGACAAACTAAGATTATTTGTCATTTCTGCCTGTCAGAAGAGCTACTGTCTGAGGCTGGTGCGCATACGTTCCCCAATTCTGCAACTGATTGAAACTACAGGGATTAGCTGTCAGCTTTTCCATGTGAAATTTAACCAAGATGTGTTGCTATTGTGCTTGTACCTCAACCAAAAAGGATTGACACGTCTTGGCTGCACTGAACATAGTCTGCCACATGAAACCATCATGTGCTCCTGCCATCTGCTCAGTGGAGTAGGCTGTGAATCGAATTTTGAAAGCAGAAGTACTTAAGATAAATGTGGATCCATCTGTATTAACTGTCACTGTACAAAATGGTACAGTATGAGGAAAAAGAAGAAAGGACTTTGATAGTCATCTTATAATTAATAGCTTAGTTATAGTTGCTTTAGCTGTAATGAACTTCCAAAATAACTCTGAATTTACAATGTGGCTTTTTTACAAATGTACTTTTATTAGAAGTTTTTAATGTGTATTGCTCAAATTTTGGCAGCAAGAATGAGGTTTAATTTTTAAGGTGTGTTTTATTGATTATAGATACCTTAAGTACTTATGGTTTTTCTCCTCAAGAATTTGGCTGACCTGATTAAATTTAATGACCTTTAAAATAAGATAGCAATGTGGGCTGGCACCGGGCATATTTTAATTCAAGCAGAAAGTCTCACCTTCCGTGTAGTTCTTGGTACGCTTCTGTCTTGTCTTGTTCTGTAACATCCATGCTTTTCCACTCTTTGGCCTCTGTTAAAGAATGATTGTGAACTGCATCTGGTGGTAGAAACGACAAAGCTGTTAAAAGGTGGACAAGTACTAAGTCTAGTTTGTGTCTCAGGCTTTGAGTACAGATACCTTTCTTCAAAACAATCCAATGAATGAACTGTACAAATGCTTAGATTTGTAAAGTCCCACCTTTTATCACTAAGTTTCTAAGTTGAGTAAAGGACAATATGATCTGCAGACAGCCTACTACTGCCATTTCAAAAATCAGCTCTATAGCTGTCAATAAAAGGATTTTCTCTAATTTCTTCTGACACTTATCTTTTTTCTTTTTTATCTGTGTTCTGCTCTCTCTAAACTGTTACAAGTATACAGGACAAACAGGAATGTTAAAATTGCTTGGTAAGTTGAGGAAAATAATTCTATCTATGGCATGCCAGCTTATGACAATGTAATGTTTGCAGTGCTTTTCATGTGTGTCTAGTACCATATAGTTTCTAAGAAATCTTTTGCAGCCAAGGAGATCTTAGACAGACAAAAATGTACATTCTCACACTTGTAATCACAATTGCACCCACAGTTTTATTAGAAAGAGAAAAGTGAGCACTCGTTTATATAAGTAGATGATCTCTGGGTTTTTTTAATAATTGAGAAAAATTGCTCATGTATATATAACCAATAGAAAATATAATCTACGTATAAATAAAGTATAATTCATCCAGTAGTTATCTGAGCATATATCTGAGAATTAAATTCTAAACAAGTAGATTGGGATGGAAGAAAAATTTCCAGATTTGACCTCTAATATTGTGCATTCTGAAGTACATGCATCTGTTCCTGTAAAAATGCTCTGTAGATATTTGTGAACAGATGGGGACCCATAAACTAAATAATTTATTTTACTTTGGTTTGTCTGGTTTGTCTGGATTCTGTGATCACTTAAGCAGCCGTGTAGTCCTGTGATGTTTCTAATCTGCTTGCTTAGGCACTTTCCTAACAATTGAGTGTTCCCCAAAGACTCTAGGATTAGAGCTAGGTCTGGGCAAAAAACCTCTGTGATTTAGTGAGAGTGCTGTGAGCTACCTGTAAGTTGTCTGCTCTGCATCCACTAAAGACAATAGAGGCTTCTTTTTGGTGATCGAGTGCAAGGATGCTCATGCTTGGATTAAACTGTCTGAAAATAGAAGGTTCAGTTTCTCCTCTGAACCCACGTGGAACACAGGTGCAATTAAGCTGGTAAAACAGCAGAAAACAAACTGAATCTCCTTGACTCCCCCTGACCAATCCTTGATTTGCCCATTTTCTAGTTTCCACTTTTCTCCTGTACTCCAAGCAGTGCATCTCTGTTGGGGGTGAGCATGGTGGAACAAGCTCAGGAAGAGCAGCAAGAGCCTTGAAGTCAGCTGTTTTACATGAACAAGAAATTCCTTCATCTTGGGGAAATATCGGAGGAGCTTTGCGAGCCACGATAGGTTCAGTTTGTATTTCCTAGCCAGGCAGCATGAGCTCAATGAACCTGAGAGGTTACCTAACACTGTTCTCACAGTGACTCAAAGAAATAGAGAAGAAGCGTGTATTTGTACTTACTGTGAATAAGATTACCTACACAGAAAACTGAAGCTGCCAAGTCAAAAGCTCAGAAACAAGAAATTAGGAAGTACAAGAACAAAGGATGCTCATTCAGCTTTAATTTGGTCCTCAGAAAGTCTCTAGTCACATATCCATGTGCTGCTTTCTCATATTCAGTAAATTTTGGTTCTCTCTTTGGGCTGCCCACTTATATTCAAGTCTTCACACTCCTGGATCCCCCATCTGGCTTCCCTGCCAGTATCCTTATGCAACCAGAGATTTCCACCTCCTTTTCTCCCCTCTTGCTTTCTCCTGGCATCATCAGTTCAGCAAAGACCCAAGAACAGTGGCTGGAGCGTGCCTAGCACTGACAGAACACTTGCAAAATGGGGTTGGTTTTTTTTCAGATTTTTAAACTCCAATACATTTATATTTTGAGAGATTTTTCTCTTTGTGTAAAATTAAGGCAACACTTCTGAAAAATATCACTCTGTCCCAGTGTGTGAGTCCACAGGCATTTCTTAATGAAATAGTTATTAAAAGGATAATGCTATTCAAAAGAACTAAACATAGTATAAATGTTACATTTGGCTGAGTCTCTTTCTCATCATTGACTTCTGTTGCTTGCCTGAAGCTTTTCCCCAAGAAATTCAGCCTGAGGCAGGCACTTGGCTTAAATGGTTGAAGTGGGCAGCTTCAAATGCTTTTTATGGGATGTGTCAGGCAGCGTCAAACATGGGTGGCAGTACTGGTCTGTCTACTTGACAGCACTGAAATCTGACCAGGAGCTAGCTACACCGTGAACAGTATGAACCAGAGCAAGAGGGGTCTGACCCATATGAGGTTGTATGCTTTGGAAAGGGAAACGCTTGAGGAAACCCTAAAGTCAGGAAGGAAGGGGCAAACATATAGATTACGTTCCTCAAAATGGGACTGGCATGTAGGGAGGAGTATCTTGCAGCAGGTGACACTGTCATGAAGAATGGATTTGAAGAGGCAACGATGCCTCCCCTAGTGGTGATTTGATATTCTGCTAACATGTAATGTTCACTAGAAGAGTTTCATACAAGCTCTTTTCCACAGTATTTTTTATTTTGTTTTTAAAAATGTCAGGTACAACATACTATATTTTAGGTATGTCTACATCTCCTCAGCCGCCTGTCTGGAGCTCCCCCCCCCCCCCCCATCTCTCTTTTTTTTTTTGCTTTTTTTTTATGTGCATCTTTACTCTGACTCAGATTGTCAGCGCTCCTGGCCATCCTTTTCCGCAGACCAGCAGTCTTCCAGTGCTCCTTCCTCTCCAGGTAAAGCTTATAATATTTCATTACTTCATCACCTTTGTTAATTACTTTGTTAATTACTAAATCTTTGCAATGCTCTGTCTGGAGTTGCCTGCTGTGGCAAAGAAAATTGTAGTGCTGTTTTTTAAAGAAAGCATAGGCATGTCAGTAGAATTTTGAGTTTGGAAAGTTGTTCAGGTTGTAAATTACAAATGTTTAAATAAAACCAGAAATTTTCTGCAGAACAGAGGTATTTTCTAAATGCATTAATTAAAACTCAGATTTTTCCATGAAAGATGCTTTAAAGTGTTTTAAATTTTTTGTCCATGCTTGCAAAAAAGGCAGTGTAAAATATTTTCTGTCTTACTAGCCCAATACTACCAGAAAAGCATCTGCATACATGTCATACTGCATATAAAATTGTTGTGTTGGTAATACAGAAAACCTATCAGTAATTTCTTGTTATTGTGTTTATAATCCTCGATTGGAAGTTCATAGAATCATAGAATGGTTTGAGTTGGAAGGGACCTTTAAAGGTCATCTAGTCCAACCCCCCCTGCGATGAGCAGGGACATCTTCAACTAGAGCAGGTTGCTCAAAGCCCTATCCAGCCTGACCTTGAATGTTTCCAGAAAGTTCAGAATTTCTGTTTTAAAACAGGGGTTCACATATTGAGGGGAGTGTATTTTCTGCCATTTCAAAGTAGTACTTGGCTCAGCATTATCAGTTGGATAGTCATGCCTATTACCATAGTTGCTGCTGCTACTCATCAAAAATAGAGAAAATAAAGCTTGGGGACCCCTGCATTATAGTGAATATCCCTTGCTACACCTGTTTCCTGTTTCTTTTCACTCATTATTATCCATTGAAAATGAGTTTCTAAAGCTTCCTTTTTTCTTTTCCCCTTTAGCCTACTTATTTAGAAATTTAGTGTCTTTTTTTAACACTGCTTTGTGAGTAAGACTCCTCCAAAGTCAAATGGCTATGAATTTGTTTTTATAAATAAAAAAAATATGCTGCAGCAGCATATGCTCCCTAGTGCTCTGCTTGAGCCTTGTTTCAAGGCACTTTGTGGCAGGGAAGCTCTCATTAATGCCATGTTCTTTTCTTGGTCCCTCCTCCCTCTCTGTGCAAGCAGGTTGCATGGTAGTGTTTTGGAGTCGTTCCTCCTTCATGTTGGAAGTAGCAACATACATTTAAGAATAAGAGCATAAAAAGCCAAGGGCTGCACTGGTCACCAGAACAGGCTGATCTTGGTTATGATCTTCTTAGAAAATTTTAAAATAAAAAGAGGGAGGGAGATACCATGTTTGCCTCATATTAAGCAGCTCTTCATCTCTGTATTCTCAGATAACAGCGCTTTCAAATAGGCTGAGGTACAGTCTTGACTTTCTTGTTCCTTTTTCATTGTGCCACTCCCTCTCTCCACTCCCATGAAACTGAAAAACAATAACTGTGAATGATCCAAGAATAGCTGTTTCTGCAAATCCACTTGTGTACTGTGTGTATTTTATCTCTCATAAGCATGATTTAGTGAGTATTCAGCAAACACTTTACATGGTTTTAAGTTCAGCAGTTTTATCACTTGTCATTAGGAAAACTAAAAAGGCTGTGAGTCATCCTTTCCTAGAAACTGGAAAAGTTTCATTTGTATCTTGTAGAAATTAAAACAGTGAAAATTAATTTAAAGCCAAAAGGAGTCTGTTTTAAAGACATTTTGCTGCATATCTGAATCTGGAATAATTTTGCTTGTTTCACAGCCACTATCTTGGATGATGGCTACAGCAAAGTGATTAAATAACATGATACTAAAACCAAAAATAGGAAGCTAACGTTTGCGAAAACTTACTATAGAATTTTCATTTTTAAGTGCTGCAAGTGGCTCCTGCTTTTAATAATTTTGTCTCCTAGCAGTTGTCTCTTACTGTGATTTCGGAGGTCTTCCTCTCCTATTACATGTTCATTGTAATTTTGAATGGCCATGTGCCTGATGATATAATAACATCTTCTCTTCTGATTATTTGTAAAAGTTCAAATCCATTTCTGCCATATGAAGATATCTACTTAGTTTAGTAAAGTGGTTGCATTTTAAAAAAAATCTGTTTCCTGATATGCCCACTTCTATTCTCATTAAATTCATTTATTCATTTAAGTTAGCTATTTCTGTTGTATTCCTTTAGCTTTCATGTTGCATTTTGGCAGGGCATTATTTACTGTTATATTATAAAGTATTTTATTTAATACTGTAGAGACTTTATAAATTACAACATTACAATTATTTCATTGAATGATCCAGCCAGTTGCACAGATAAAGATTTCTATGGAGGTGTCACAGTCTACCTATGATTTCTACAGAATTTTACTTGCTGTTTTTATTCTCTATAAAAATTCATTACAGTCATGTATAAATACAATAGTGGTTTTATTTATATGCAAATTTTGTGGCTTCTCTAACAAATGTTAGGACCATGCTGGAAAAAGCACTTAGAGTTCTTAATGTTAGAGGCTGGCAGAATTTAGGAGCCTGAGTTTAAAAATGAAATCTGTAATTCTCTGCCTAATTTCTTGGATGCATGAAAGTGTTGGTATACAAGTAACTTTGCCACTAAAAACTTTCAATAACTGAAGTTTTGTGAAATGGCCTTCCCACTAAGGACCTCATCTTGGATGAACTGAACATCTTGCCACCTGTCTCATGTCTGGGCTCAAAGATGAGGCATCCTTGTGCCTAAGGATGAGAGGGATTGGGAACCAGTAGACAGTGCATGACAGGAGCTGACTGCTCACCGTGAAAAGGCACCTTTGTTGTTCTAGGCCTGGCTTCTTGATCTTAGTCACAGTAATTACATCCCAGAAACTGGTATTATAAACTAAAACATGAAGTAGAGATGGAATAAAAAGGAACTGATCTTGTCATTGAATTGCAGTCATGTACTGTCACTGTAAAGCGGTGGTCCATGGTATGGCTGAGTATTGTACAATAAGTTTTATAATGCATGAAGCTGCCTGTGATATAGGTACTTGACATTCTAGTGTATGAGGAGTATGAACAATAAAAAAAGTATTAGCTTTAAGTCTTCAGCAGAAGTTAAAATTCCTCAGGTAGAAGAAGAGTTAAAGTTTTACTTTTCATGAAGTCTGCGGTATATGCAATTTTTTTGTAGTAACTTCTGTTTTCAATATTCTGTTAAAATGTACAGAATTTCAGAGATCCAAATGAGTGGTAGACCTTTCTTGAAAAAGATGAATGCTATTGCTTTAACTGTTATCTGCATGTTTCCTCACAGTGAAAAAAAGCCCGACATTTTTAGATGTGAACACAGGACCCTTCATCAGGACCAACAGCTTTGCCGATGAGCTTGACCTGGAGGGTGAGACACTGTTGACCCCAATAACTCACATCTCACAGTAAGTCAAGGCTAGTGAATTGTGCATTAGTTGACTTAGACAAGAGAAGCCAATTCAGGTGGGAGGAGCTGAAATATAGAGCTGATAGGGCTATCTCAGATATTTGCGTCAAACTCTTTTTACCTTGAAGTTGGTGTATAATGTTCGAGTGCCAGTAAATCTTCATGTTGACCTGAAGAAAAGTTCACTTGGCTGTGACACAAGGCTTTAGTTTTTAGCTAATGTCTCTGGGCAGCTGGTGGTTGATAGCCTCAAGATTTTCGCATGGAGACAATGTGTGGGAGTACTTGCCTGTTGAGAATTATATTACTCCCTCCACCATTTTCCAGTGGAATAGCTGTGAAGTGCAAATTTTTAAATACTACTCATATGAAATACCAGCCTTTCTATTTCAGCAGCACCTTCTCTAATGGTCAAATGATGATCTGCATTGGAAGAAAAGACCTGTTTTGATCTTTATTACTGCTTTGTGATATATATAAAAATGATCTGAAATAGGCCTGTATTTTTTATGTTGTTGTTTTCCTTTTTTAAAAGAAGATCTTCCACATACCTTTTATGCTAAAATGTTATCTCCAGGTTCTCAGATTATTCTAAAAAATTGAGAATTGCAAAAGATTTTTATTCAAATGCCTTTAAAAAAAAAAAAATTTCTGCCATTGTTTAATTCAAACTCCTGACAAATTATTATCATTTACCATAGTAGATGTGTGACAGTGTGTCCTCTAGCAGAGGAATGAGACAATGTTTTCCCCTCCTATTCCTAGAAATCTGAGGATTTCTGCAGTGAAACCACAGATGAAAATTCTTGGCATACTTGTATTTCTGAGGTACAAAACATGCAGAAACGCCTGCTGCCAATTTTCAGGACTTCTTCCTATACAGTATAAATAGCAGAGAAGCACAAACATACTTTTTATAGCCACTTTAGAAGGGCATTTTTTTAAAAAAGTAGGTTTGGGAGGAGTCTTCCCTGCCCCCAAGCAAAAGGGCTTGCATTTTCAGCTGAATATTGTACAGGTACATATATTTGTAGTCAGAGGATTTAGGAGACTTGTATTCTGGAAGATTTCTTAGTGGTACAAGCAGGAGGAGGAAGTCATAAATTTCCTCAAGCCTTAGACAAGAACAACCGAGCAGCAAAACCAGATCTAGAAGTTTCCTTCGCGTAGCTTTTTTTTAAACTTTAATTTACCACAACATTGCAGGCTTTCTTTAAGAGAAATAAGCTTTGGTGCTAGGAGTTTTCATTATTCTTTTTGGATTTGGGAATGATTTAGTTATTTCTCATTGTGACCTTCATTGATACGTTTCTAATAATAAGGTGCTCCATCACTTTTAAGTCCAACTTGTGTAACAGCTGAGATTTTTTTTTCTATGAACTACTTGTGGGAGACCTTAGGATATAGGTAATGTGTATCAGCTGAAGAACCTTACCAAATTAACACCCTAGTCTTTTAGTAACTTATATATTTCTCTTTTACTTTCTTAATTTTTGGTTGTAACCTTTATTGAAATCTCCCTAGATTGCTCTAGGTCAGGAGTGATGGGATGGTACAAAACATGTCCCCACATATGGCTTGAATTGAGTCTCTGCTAGAGTGGAAGAAAATGGAAGTCATTGTTTCTTTTAAGACTTTGGTTTTAGATTCAAAACTGGATAAATTGGATTAAATGCAAAACCGGATAAAATATTAATCAAAATGTGTCTCTCTGAAGCATGGGTGCCCAAATGTTGTAGAGCCTGAGAACTGTTCATTTAGAAGTGCATTTACTTTGTACGCAGTTTATTAAAAAGCCTGAAACAATGCCAGATCAGCCTACTATAGATGTAAGGGTTTGGCAAAAAGTTAGTGAAAACCCTGTGTTCTGTAATCTCAGTTGGAGTATTGGCATTCAGGGAACAGATATTCCCAAATATTTTGAAATGCAAAATATTCTAATGTTTGTTTTACTGTTGGGTTGTGCATTTGAGGCAGTTGAAAAGCAAGCTGCTGTGCTGCGTTTCACTGGGTACCCGTGTCGCTGGATGCTGAAGACCAGTCAATTTCCATGAATTATTTAGACAAATGCTTCTTTTTCATTCTTCATTTCAAAGTCCTAGGGAACAAATATTTATGAGCTGGTTACACGTTAGTAGGACCTGCATATTAGACATGTGGGCATAGAATTAAGGATCAAATTTAGAATTGTGCAATAGATATATCTCTTTGTGCAAAGCCATGTCCTAATTTTCTGTAGCGTAAAAGTGGTTAGTCAAATTATTATTTGTCTTTGTGTGTTTTTAATTCAGGCTTGAAAGTTATGCTCTGCCTGAGAGAATCTAGGATGAATTATTTTGTTCTGATGTCCCCAGTTTTATTTCCTTAAAGCCATCATATGTACAGTATGATTGCTCCAGATTTGTTGATAAGGAAATAAGCAACCATATGCAAGTCTAAACCCAAGTACTTAACAAAAATACAGCACCAGCTATGACAACAAATTAGTATGGAAAAGTCAAATTAAGTGCAAATATCTCTAGTTTCAGGTCTTAAAAGCAATTCATACTCTATTAGAGGAACAGAAGCATGAAGACAGTTTCAGAAGTGAAAGCATAATATAAAACACTTGATCTAAGGATGCTTGGATTTGGGATTCGTAGAACTATTTCCTGGTCAATTATATTTTTATTGCAACATATGAATTAGCTTATCTATAAACCACGGAAAGGTGACTCCAGAATAAACATTAATTTTTTGAAAGTCATAAATGCATGAGTAAATATTACATAGTTAATTGGAGACATGCAATTAGAAAGTGACTTTTAGTTGACAGTATGAAAAATATTTCCTTTTGACAAGTAGTGTAAATCTGGCAAAAGTGTGGGGTACCTACTGTGTTACTGACAGGCAAACACTTGGCATCATTGTGGCTTAAAAAAAGAATGAGGCTAAGTTTGTTTTCTCACTTGCATTACGTCATGGAAAGAAAATGCCATCTTTCAGCCCTTATGGCAAAGGGCTTTAGGCTTCCGGGCCTAAAGTCCCCTTTAAATTGAATTTCAGTGCCCTGCTTGTTTATGCAAAAATTATTCTCTTTTTGTAAATGTAGGTGCATATTCTCACTGAATTTAATAGGACTGTTTTGTGTCTAATAACAAAAATGCAGGTGTGGGGTTTTTTGCAGGACATACTTCTGGCTCCATTTTAAATCTGTTTTGAAATAAACATTGTACTAATTGTGGCCCTATTTCTGTGGAATTAGAAATGGGAAATCTTTCATGTGGAAAGATTACTGCACCAGTTAATTGTTTGTCAGTACCACTTTGAGGAAACTAAAATAATAATAGAAGCACTTTGAGACCTGATGTTCAAACAGGAAAGTGATTAAAATGTCATAGCAAAAACAGATTTGCAGCAGGTGCATGCAGAAATATAGAATAACATAGCAGTGCATGGAAGAGTGATTGCACTTTTCCTTCTACGTGAAGAAGTCTTATAAGCAGAAAATGAAGATTTGAGCAGAGCAATCTTTGTAATTAGCTATTATGGATCTCACCTATAAAATGAACTGTAACAGTTTGAAGAATGCAGTACACAGTGTGTTGTTTGAGATAAAACTTGGCTCCTCAATGGTTTGTTTAATGACTGTTGTGGTCTGTTCTGTTGTAAAAGTGAAATAGGAAACTGGACTGTAGCAATACCACACCTCTCCTTTGGACTTCTCCCTGTTTTCTTTCTCTCTAATCAGTGCGTTCCCATATTGTCTCCTGTTCCCTGTTTCACTTTGTTGGGTCTTTTGTTCTATTTGCATTTTAAAGCAGTGGAAAATCGATGTTACTTGTAGCTGAGCCTCAGCTACCAAGAGGTTCTTTCCCTGTGTTCGTATAATTGTTTAATTTCAGCACCCTTTTTAACTTTACATTTGGCATTAGCTGAAGTAGCAAAAGAAATTAACCAAGCTTCTAAGCATACAAATAGGAGGGAAAGGGAGAAGAAGTGGGTGGAATCGAGCTGAAAAAGGGAGAGAAGAAAATAATTAAGAACTCTCAATCTAATATATCTTTATATAAATATTTCTCATCTCTTTAAAGAAGTTTAAAGAGAGCTCTGCATTCTCTGTGAATCTTTCAGAAATGCTACTGATTCAAAAATAAGTTCATGTCTGTTATTTCTACAGTTTCCCACTCTTGGGGTTCAGCAGCTCATTGGACAGTGGTTTGTTTAATCAGTTCTGATGTATAAATGTATTTCTGCTGCTTAATATGAGTAACTTTTTAGAAAAATACTGCCTCTAAATGTATTGTAAATT